TTTCATGTTAAGAGAGGGGATAAAAGAGAAAAACCATAGAGATTAGGCAGATGTACAGAACTAAGTTAAAAAAAAAAATGATCATAGCCACCCTCGAATTAGCTATGTACCTGAAGGGAAAAAATACATGCCATGATGAGATTCAGTAATAGTTCAATTACAGTAGATCTTGTGAAAGGCCAGTTAGAGGATTGACAACAAATATATCAAGTTCAAAAATGTTTCTGAGAGTCAATTGAAGCACTGAGAAGCAATTATATATTTACATAGAAATCCAAAATCAAATAAAGTTGGCTTAGTTATCCATATAGCAGCTAATTGACCAGATGTATTCCAAAATAAGACAATCTCATATTTGCATCATAGAAGTAAATGAAATTGTTAAAACAATTTCATCTAAATAAAGGAGAATAAAATGAAATTTGCAAACATTAACATAAAATTCAATACCTGACATAAAGCATTTGTGGAAATGTGAAGAGCTCATAGAAGACTAAGGAAAATGGATTGCCTTAAATGTCCTTCAAAAAGTCTTTAAAATGTCTTGCATCAAGGAAGAGTAACATGACAATTATACTAACAGAGAGGTTATAACTATTTGGTATCTATGTTAGAACAATATGTACTCTATCATAAAATGAAAAAAAAAAGTGATGTAATGTTTTTAAGACATTGGACAATGAAAGTACTAAATATTTAATCACCATCTTTTTTATCCAGTGTTGTTTTCTTTACTCTGACTTTGTATATTGATGATGTGGCAATTGAACTGAAAGACAGATTTCTTGCTTATATTGTGCATGTTGCAAGTTTGATCTTCAAAAGATAACGGTTATGCCATTTATCCCTTTTTTATTTCTTGTATTGCCCATAGAATAATTGTTGATACATTAAATTTTATCCTTTGCTAAAATAAACAACCCCCCCAAAGAAAAAGCCCTAGCAACTTTGCAAACAATCTGTACCTGAATAACCATGCAAAAAAGTAGAGCCCAGGTATGGGCTGGGTATCCAAAGGAGAATGGTCAAAGGAGCATATAGAATCTAGAGGGAGGAACCAAGTTTAATTTTTTTCTAGCCCAAAAGGCACACCATTAACTAGATTTTAGGTCACATATTCGGAAGTTGTTCATGAAGTTCACATTTAGCCTTTTCAAAACAGTGCATTTTAATTTATTAATTTGCAGGGGTGGGAGACAGGTGGCAGGTAAAAATGAAATAGATATGAAATATGAAACAACACAAAGGAAGAGGTATAAAAAAGCTAGAAGTACCTGGTGGAAAGTTAATGATTTTAAGGTAGCTGTCCTTATTAGAGGACAAGATTGGGAGACACTGGTCACTTAAATTTGGCCTAAATTCAGATTTGTTTAGGAGAGAGGGAGGGAGGAAGATAGTTGTACCACAGGTAAAGAGAGGGAGGAATAAACTATTTGATATAGGAGTTTTGGTTTTGTTTTTGTTTTTAAGATTTTATATATTTATTTGACAGAAAGCAAGGAAAAGCAGGGGGAGCACCAGACAGAGGCAGAGGGAGAGAAAGAGCCAGACTCCCCACTCAGCAAGGGCCCTGAAGTGGGGCTCAATCCCACGACCCTGGGATCAAGACCTGAGAGAAAGGCAGACGCTTAACTGACTGAGCCATGCAAGTATCCCTGATATAGGAGTTTTATGCTAAAATTATCTCTGTACACCCAGACAAAATATTCCAGATTTTTCAAGATTTTGCCACTTCATGAGTAGGTAAGAATTGTGCACCCTTCTTTATAGCACTGTGATAGAAATGGCACAGCTCAACCTAGATCCATACTATCATGAACCAGGAAGTTCAAATACAATTTCAAGGATTCCGACTCAAGCCAGGGTTCAGCCTCTGGCCCATAAATAAAGTCTATTGTTTGCCTTTAGGTATTTTAATGTTATTTTCACAGTTAAGAAGCTACTTTTGATAATACTGAATGTGTATGCAAATCTATAGCTCAAAGAACATGTTGTAGCATTGTTTCTAATAAAAAGGAAGTATATTTTCATCGGTTGTGTGTCACTGTATGTATTAGGATCTCAATAAAATGAAATATTATTCAGTAATTGAAAAGTAGCCATACATGAATATCGGTTGATATGGAAACAATCATATATTATTGACTACAACTAGCTGCAAAATAACTACATCCATGAAAATATATTTTTGTTTCCCTGTCTACCTATTCTTACTACTCTCTCCACTGCAGGTAATCTAAATATTTTCTGTCTTTCTTATTTTGTTGTTCTTTTATATAATGGACATTCCTGTTGTACCTGTGTTATTAATTTACAATATTATTAGTGAACTATTACCCTACCTTTTGAACATTGTGTTCTTTTTTAATATAAATCTGTTTCTGCACATATTGCATAGAACACTGGGTGTTATATGTACACAATGTATCTTAGAATCAAAAATTAATGATGTATGGTGACTAACATAACACAATACAAATTTTTTAAAAAGATAAATATGTTTCCTTATGCACATATGATCTTTGCTTTTTTCTAAAGATTAGTAAGATAATTCATTTGATACATTTGTCTCATACTGTCCTTATGATTGAATTTCCAGCTAATCTTTATTGGAATCTAGCATACTCAGGACATGAACCTTTTCTGTGTAAACCAGTTGCTTTGATTTTTTTTTTTCTATTACACTAAAGTGTAATGTAACCTATACAAATGAATCTATTTGATTTTGAAATTAAGGTACAGTAACATCATAAAATAAGCTGATGTAGTATCTTATGCTTCTTTTTATTTTCTCAAAGAACTTTACAAGAGGTTCATTAAAATTTTGGTATAATTTTGCTGTACATATATTCATGCTCATTTTATTTTTTAATTTATTTACTACTAGTCTATTTCTCTGTATTTTTGTTCTAGTTCAGGTTCCTGCTGTTTTCATGGCAAATATGTTTATTTTATCAAATAACAAAGTTTATTTTACAATAAATTCTGAAAGGAATCTATTTTGTTCTCTTTATCCTCATTTTGCAATAGGTTGGGCAGATGGACCTGTCTTGGGTAGTTATTCACTTCACAGGTTTTTAATTGAAATCATTTTTACCTTTCATGTCTTCATTGAAGTAGAAAACATCCTCTGTATGACATAGTTGAGGAAAAACAGGACAGCAATAAAATGTTCATGCTGCCCTTATATTATGCTAAGAAATATTCTAAGTGTTCCATGTTTAAGACCACAGGCTCTGGAGTCTGATTTTTGCCAAATCTGTGATCTAGAGCAAAATATTTAATCTCTAAGGCCTCAAGGGTATAAAGTATAAAATTGTAGTAACAACAATAAATATCTCATTGGACTATATGAATATATAATATGTAATATCTGTGATTTTCTTTCTTTTTTCTTGTTAAAAAAAAAAAAAAGGAGAGTTAATGGAGAACCCTAATATATGAGAGAGAAAACTAGAACTATTGCTTTTGAAATGGGCCTGGGGCCTCACCAACGTACTCTGCCTTACCTGTGTTCTACTCTCCACTCCTAAACAGGTAGCCCAAGAAGTACCTCTTAGATATGGAAACATTCAAGGAACAGACTTAAAAAGGAACTCCATAGTATTATCAGAAATGAGTGTTATTTAGCTACATTGTTAATTCTGCCCTAAGTAGAGTTGGTAGTTTTATCAATGGGATGAAAGAGAGGGAAGCAATGACATGTCTTCTTTCTTTTTTGATATCACCACAATAAACATTCCACTTACTATCAGCAAGCCACTGGACCATGTTTTGCCACGCAAGGGATAAATAACTGAGCATAGGTAGTGGGGCTAGTGTCTCTCTGTTTAGCCTTAGCGTAAGCAAAAGAAATTTGTCTTTGATGACAGACAATTCTGGGGTCAGACCCTAGCCTCTGTTTACCAGAAAACTGTATGAAAGTTAAGTAATACTATGAGACTGAATTTGTTCATTTTCTTAACTTTATGAAATAGCACACCTTGCAAGATTATTTTGAAGAATTCTGGTGATCTCTATAAAATTTCAGATTGTCTTTAATTTTAATGTTTGTAATGTGTGGCACTGACACGGTTTTATTTTCAAGCCAAATGCTCCTGGTATAGGTTGTATAGTACTATTACTAACAATAAGGATGGCCTTTATTGATTCAGATATGCCTCTTTGGACTTTACATAAATTATTAGGGATTTACTAATTCTCTTACAGGTGTTACACAGTTACCTGACTGAAACTATGCATGGTGCTTAAAGCAGTCTCTGACTTTATCAATGTTAATCAACATATCCTATCTGATGTTTTGGCTACTACCTGTTTTGACCACTACCAACGTGGAGATTCATCCTGATCTTTATCAGCCTGAATATGCCTTTGCCTAAAGCCAATAAGGGTGACTACACATCATTCCTGGTTGAGATAATCTGACACCCTGAACCTTATAAGACATTAACAATGCTTGAAAACACAAATTTTTATATTATAAGACTATACAATAAGGTTATAAGTGGTGGGATGACCTTCCTAGATCATGGATGATTCATCCTAAATCATGTAAATAATGAAAAAATTGATGAAAACCAATGACCGATATCATCATAAAACACACTCCATTAGCGCATACTAAATGCTTCCAAAATGCTACTATAGAAAAATATATACCTTATGATAAAGTTGACTAAAAAACAAGTAATATTTTAGTAATATCTTCTACTCTACAATAAAAAGTAATATCATCTTCTCCAAGTTTTTTTTTTTCTTTCCTTTCTTCTCCTAGTCTTTTATTTGTTAAACAGTAATCTTTAACAGTAAATGCCAAAGGAAAGCAACAAACAAAAGCAGGGATTTGCATAATAGATGGGAATGACTGTGAGCCATGGCAGACCAGAAGTTTCTGTTTTCTTCTGTGGGGCCAGGAGTCCACAATGTGGTGTGCTCATCTTTCTTTTCCCCCACAAAGGTCACAAACAGCTTAGATGGGAGACTGAATGCGATGACTGGTCCTAATTTTTGCTATTCAACCATTTTTCTTGATCTTGCTCTCTTACTCCGTACATTCCAGACTGTTCAATGGATTTGTAATAAACTTCCAAGATGAAGGGAAATTTCTTGCTCATCATTTGCCTGAAATCTTGGCTTGTGTTCATCTTATTAAATAAAAAATATGCTCCAAAAACGCCCAAGAGTTCAGCTACTAAAACTCCTTTAAAGATCTTCTTTGCCACTGGTTCCATAGTGAGGGGCCATCATATAATCAACAGGCAGGTGAGTGGGTGGGGAGAACTGTTTTGCTGTTTACGATGCTGTACCTGAGGTGCTCTCCAAGTTTTTTAATTAGCATGAAGTATAGTATGAATATTTCAAGAAATATATACACATTTGTATTGGAGTTTAAACTTTACATCTATTTTATATACATGTGAGAGTATATATGTGTATATTTGTGTATGCGTGTGTGTGCGTGCATGACATGAACTTGTGATTTTAGGAAAATTGTCTCACTTTTTTTTTTTTTTAAGATTTTATTTATTTATTTGACAGAGAGAGAAATCACAAGGAGGCAGAGAGGCAGGCAGAGAGAGAAGGGGAAGCAGGCTCCCTGCTGAGCAGAGAGCCCAATGTGGGGCTAGATCCCAGGACCCTGGGATCATGACCTGAGCTGAAGGCAGAGGCTTTAACCCACTGAGCCACCCAGGCACCCCTGTCTCACTTTTCATTCATGTTTCATTTGCATATGTCCAAGAATTCCATAAAAATGAATTAAAAATAAGTGGAATTGATTCATACCTTTGAATAAGGCAGTACTTTCACCTTGATAATCTTATTTATTAGTTCTGCTCTAAAGCCTACCTAAGTATGTATATCAAAATGAAACAAAACAAAATAGAACTTCACAAGTGACTCTGATACATGCCACCACTAAGATTTCTTGAATCAAGTTGTGAGCTGAAACAAGTCCTCCTTGCTGTCTTCTGGAAGGTCTGATTCTATAAGGCTTTGGGAATCCTATCCAATCTCACTATGTAGCAAGAATGCTTTTCAGGAATGTTTCAAAAGAAAAGCTAATAAAGTGTTTCCTTCCATGAGAAAAGAGGGCTCCTTGTGATCTTCAATACCTTATAAATCATGAGTTTTTGAAGCTTGTTTCTTAATGCAATTACTGGGAGAAATGAAACCGTAAATGCGGTGGGTATTAGTGTTATCCATCAACTATTTCCTTTTCTCTCTCTTCCTAGGTGAATGGGAGGTTTCAACTTTCCTGCTGCCTTTAAATGTGAACCAGTGATATGTGAGAAGTGAAGCATACCATGTTTAAACAATAAGTTGAAATGCTTGCACACTTACAGTGTATTCTGTTCTTTCCTCCTGCAGTGGGGAAGTGTGTATTCTAGAGAGTGACTATTGTATCAGCATTAGGACCAGCTTAGAACATGATGACATAAAGCAGAGCCCAGCTGCTTGTCTGAAATGACCATGAATGTGTCTGAAAAGTTAATCTTTCTAAACAGTTTTTAATTCCTTGAACTTTTTGAAGTTATTTATTTATTACTGCAGGATAACTTTAGCATACCCTGAGTGAAGCAAAAATTAAAATATTAAACTAGTAGTCATGGAGGTCAACTATAGTTTATCATAACCATAACAGGATTGTTAGAATTTGATAATGATTTTTTCCCCGTTTTGAAATTCTTATATTGTCTCACATATTAAATTCTCTACATGTATCCGATTTAATTCTCACAATGACTTTAAGAAATATTTAATACTTCATTTTCTTTTTTACGTCAGAAGAAATAAAGACTTACAAAGGAAACAGAAGTTTACATTCCACCAATATCATACATGTGGTAGGTAACAGAAACAGGTCTCAAATGCAGATATTTTTAAATTATAAAGCTCATGCCCTTAAACTTTATGTGATATGTTATCTCTTTTACATGCCCCAAACAAGCAAGTAATATTAACTAGTCAAATATTGACTAGTCACCAAATAAGGAATATTTATATATACCACATATACAAAGGAACTACATCAGTGAGAGCTGAGGAAGTGGTAGATAAGAGCTAATATGAAAATGCGTAAGACAGTAAGTTTTACAATGGGTAAGCTGAAGATTTCAGGACAGTGTAGAGTGGAAATTGGATTTAGAGGCCCGTGTATGCATCAACAGTAAACAGGAAGTAACAGAACTACTGAAGGAAAAGACATAGAACTTAAAGTGACTTATATCAGAGAAGGTTGGTCACAGAAGTGATGAAAACTATAGTTGTATATTGTGTGAACTTAGGGACTGCCAGGATCCTCAAGTAAGAAACGGCCTAGTGAAAAATTGTGAGCATTGTGATTTTTCTACTCTTGCTGTTGAGAAGCCAATGGGGAGACTGTATTCCTAATGGTCCCTGGAATAGATTTGTACCCCAGAAAGGGTGATAAACCTGTTAAAAGTAATTTGTGTCTTTTTTGTACATCTGAGTTCTATAACAAGATTTAAGAATTCCTTTTAGTTATTCTTATTTCTGTTTTATCTGTAACTATATAAATTACTATGTGTGTTGAGTAATTTTAAAAAATTATAGGCTTTGAGTAAATACATTTAAAATTAATAGAAAATTTCTTCAAAAATAAAAAGGGAATTTTAGACCAAATCTGACAGTGGGTGTGATGGACATTTCAGGCAGTAGATTTGAAAGCAAAATGTATTTCTAAACACATACTTCTGAAAGTTGAAAACGTTAAAAACTGGGGGAATCAAAATATTGTTGTGTTTCTTTGGGTCATCAGAAAACCAGATAGCAAGCAGGGTGTGATTGTATATGTGTTTTTGTCCATACTGTTTCTATGTATTGGCAAATTTTAAGATGCAATCAAGTAGGCTCTTTATATATATATTTTTTTAAACTATGTCTTAGAAATCATCTATAGTTCCCCTGATACAGTTAGCAAAGCAAATATGACAATTTTAGATTTTTTTTCATTCACGACACAGAATTATAGTAAACAATGAATCCAAATTATGAAACATCTTTCCAACCATTTTTGCTCAATATATTTAACAATTAGAAATTTATCAAGTATATGCTTTATTCCAAACAAGACAAGGATTAGGGAAATGCACAGTTAAATAGTCAAATGTTTATTTAAAGGTGATTTTCTTGAATCTTCTTTAAATAGAAACAATTATACTTAAATTGTTATTCTTCCTTTCTTTTTATAAACTTCCTCATTTTCTGTTTGAATTTGTAATTTTGTGGGATATTATCATATTAAAGGAAACACTGTGGAACATTACACAAAGCTTTAGAGTTAAAAATGAAAGCTAAACTTCTCTGTTTATTTTATTATCTTTTTTTTGGCAGAAAAACTTGTCATTGTTGATAATAGGATTCCCATAGTCTCATCATTCTTAGGTGGCTGAGCATTTATTACTTGATAGTTTTCATTTTCTTTGCTATGTTTCATTTATGTCACTGGTGGAGGTCAGAATCATGACTTCATTGAGAAAAGGCATGAACTCCCTAAACCAAACTTTTGAATGGCTTTTATTAAAGTCCATGTCCCTTTTTTCATGAACTCCTAAGAGTTAGTAAATCTTTTAGTTCATCACAGGGTGCTGAATTCTTGCCTCTAAATGGCTGACTTTGTGTCAGTTGCAAATTCCTGGTCCAGTCAGTAGTGACGAGTAAAGTCAGAGAGTCACTTGACAGAAAGCATGGAAACATGGGTACAAGTTTATGTTCATATTTCTCTGGCAAATTGACTCTTGGAGTGATGGCATTAGACCGCCATGAACTGACTAATCAAAAACAACACAAACCAACAATTCTTGTTTCCTGGCTTTTATTTTTTTAAATTTATTTTTATTACGTTATGTTAGTCACTATACAATACATCATTAGTTTTTGATGTAGTGTTCCAAGATTCATTGTTTCCATATAACACCCAGTGCTCCATGCCATCCATGCCCTCCTTGATACTCATCACCAGGCTCACCCATCCCCCCACCCCCTTCCCCTCAAAACCCTCATTTTGTTTCTTGGAGTCTGTAGTCTCTCATGGTTCCTCTCCCCCTCTGATCTCCCCCCTTCATTTTCCCTTCCTTTCCTGGCTTTTAAAAAAAGGTTTTTCCATTGCATGTCCCGTGAGTGTTTATCTAAGATATTATGTAGTCTTGGACCCTCTGCTTACTTTATCCCTAGCACCATTTCTGACTCGCTTAGGATTTCCCAAATCTTCCCTCAGATTACAATATGTGCTTCACAGCTCTTCTCCTTGGGTTCTGTGGATCAACCCATTACCAGTCTAATTTTAGAGTGTTTAAAGATGATGCAACTCTTGAAGATAATGCCTTATTACAAACTCTGTTAAACTAGTCTAAATCATTTTACAGGGAGCATAGGATTGTATTTTGTATAATTTTACAGCACTAGTTGCTGAGAAATGAAAGTGCAAAGCTTACATCTGTATATCATGGCAACCATTTTTCTGGATGACTATCTAATTTTGTCTAAAGTAAAAAAGTTATCTAGGTTCTTTCCAGACCATTTAGATTTTCTAATTTCTGTAAGAACTACAGCCAAAACTTACACAAGGATAGCAACTTTTTAAATTCAACTGTCCCTTAAAATATTGTGCAATGTTGATTTTTGTTCTCAATTTATTAGACTTAAACACCGTGTCAAGAATTAAATTAGAATAAACATATTCACTTTGATCTCAGTATGATGTTCCTTGATTTCTGTGTATTGCACAACCTGTCTCAGAGTTGCAAACTGTATGAAACTTGAATATTAGCAGCCTCTTGCACCCTTTCAACATTTTCAGATATTTGCCACCAGTCAATAAATTTCAAATACTTTTTCATACTCTATAAAGTGTTAGTATGCTGATATAGTCAGTCTATTCTATGTCCTAACCCTTTTTAACTACCTAACAACATTTTCATCTTAAAGTCTTTTTGCAGGATTTTATTTCCAATACAACTTTATATATTGCTAATATTCTTAAGTATTTAAAAATGACTTTCTTCTGTCTCCTTTATAAGCATGCTGAAGAGTATCCTTGAAAAAAAAAAATAGGACTAATCTAATACTCTGTAGGTTGAATTCCATAGCATTGATTTCCTCTTTAAAAATTCTCTCCATATGCTCCTCTGTGAAATGTTACACAATGCCAAAATATTTATTTTCATATTCAGTTGAGAAAGGGTACCCAAATCATATCCATCATATAAAT